CCAGCAGGGCAAATTAGGCGGCCACGAGGCCCTCGGGAGCGCGAGGCCTAAGGCGACCGCCTAATTTGCCTAATTAAAGAGCCGCCTCTGTCGATGGACATGTGTCTTTTTTGAACCTGACTAACTATGTAACTTGTAACCACTCTGATAAGGAAAAGAAAAATTAAAAAGTCCCCCAAACCCCCACAAAAAACCCAAAGCCCAAAAATAATGACAGCAGTGTATGGCTGGTTTTGTGACTACAGACATTTTGTGACTACAGTTTTGTCCCTTTGAAAGATGATCCATTCCTTTGCAATCCTGTCGATAAGGTTGTTTGGCTTTCATGCACAGTTTCTCTGACCAAAAAAAATAGGAAGGAACCCCAGTCACCTAATCACCTTTTATAAAGCCTAAACAGAAATAGCTAAAACCTCTATAAGCTATACATTTGTTATTTAGGGCTAACCCCAAATTCACAATTTTATTTTCAAGTCATAACTTCAACCAGGTTCTAAGTGAAAAGACTCCAAAATGCTCTCAATCAGCATTACCTTAAAATTAAAACATAAAAAGAATTCCCACTGTAGACCATATATGAATATGCTCTAGGTATACAAACAAATAATGGAGCAATATTTAAAAACAATACTGCCCTGGGAGCATCTAACTGATGATACCCTATTATACAAGCTCCACCTTTTGTATAATGTGATTATTGTAGTAAAAGCCTTTGCTAGAATACCCAATTAGAGAAAGCATGGGGTCTGCTTTATATGCAGAACTAGTCTTCAAATATACAGTCCACTAATCGAGAGAAGGGTTTCATGTTTCCTGAACTGTGAAGAGCCTTCCGACTCCTCAATACAACCCGTTCACTCCCTTCCCCCTACAGTTCTCTAGTTAAATGCAGACATAAATATCCAGAGTTGGACAGAAGAGAAAACCAAGTAAGGTAAAGTTATGACAGTTTTTGAGGTTTGGGACAGCTCCCTCTTATAATGCTACCCTTGACTATAAGGAAAACTCAGATTTGATAGATTCCTATATTGATCAGCAAAGGAGTATATTGCTGTAAATAATGTCTCAGCCATGTATTGATAATATGGTGGTTAAACTTTTTTCTTACTGAATCCATTTCTAAGATGTGAAGGTGATCCCTCTATACTTACTGGGTTTCCTTTGGGTCCATCGTCACCCATAGGTCCTTTTCCACCTGGAGGTCCAGCGTCACCAGATTGGCCAGACTCTCCCTTTTCTCCTCTGTCTCCACGTGGCCCCTACAGGGCAAGAACCAAAAATGAACGGTCATTTTAAAGGAGAGATTAGTATAATGCATGTGAGTAGCATTAAGCTGTGCGGTTTTAAGAAATGGATGATCACATTTTGTATTATTTTACATGTACAGTATATAGAAATTACAATATAATTGAGAAAAACTCACCTTAGGCCCAAGTTCTCCTTGGATGCCAGGCTCGCCTGTCTCACCAGGTTCACCCTAAAGTGAAAAACAGAAGTTTGCTGTAACCTTTTTCATTATATTCAAGTTATCATTGTCCCTTTTTTATCAGCTGCCCCACCCCACCTATCCTGAAGGCATCAAAGTGACCCACCATGTTTGACATTGATTCTGTATGTAGAAAATTATATAAAGACTAATGTGGAAAGTTTCGGTATCATGGCTGACCACCGGTCAGGAAACACCTGTTTTTTGGAATTTTCTATAAAAACATGCTTGAGCGATTTCTATTTGAGATCTAACATCTATGTGCTGGAAAAAGAAACTTGGACATCTCCTTATGTTTATTTTGCAAGTGCACATGTGCCTGTCTGTTTATGTTTGCATTTCTTTGGTATAATTTCATCCAACATATGTTAATGGTTCAATATATAGGGGGGATCTTACCTTCTCTCCTAAAGGTCCCAAGTTTCCAATTCCACCAGGAGGACCTTGTGGACCCTGTAGAAAACCATAGAAGGTTGCTATGAGTGAAAAAAGCGAGGAAACTGGGAAGATAAACTCAACAATGCCTCATATTAAGTTAAATTGAAAGAAATGTCTAGATTAAAAGTCTTACCAGGTTGGTACATATGCAAAGGAAAAACAGGTTTCCAAATTATAATTTTTTTTTCTTTTTACATTCATCTATAGACATCCATGGATGGTTCAGACATGCAAGCATGATCTGACTATCCAAAGGTGTTTCATGGCAAGCTGAAGATATAAACTGGGATTCTTAGGTTTGCTTGATTGTTCATGTTTAGGGCTATGGAAACAGCAGGTGGAAGCACATGTGTACACATCCAGGAACGGCTTATTATTGGAGAAACAACAGAGACTGTACTAGATTTCCAGCTTGTCTGCTTGCTATTTCCATCCCACAGATCTCTTGGTCAGTGATATCTGCAGTTGCCTTTACCATGAGATTATCAGCACATACAACCAGCATCATATTGGGTAATCAAAATCCCATGTCTATGAGAACCTGTAAAATGAATGGGTCATGTAGATACATGAAGGATCAGAAAACTGATTGCAAGAAACAATAACTCACATCAGCTCCAGATGGGCCAGCAGGGCCACGTGGTCCAGGAGGTCCGGGTGGGCCCTACATTGAGAAAGAGGTAATTCATCATGAGAATTATATTTGTACGGAAAGAGAGAAAGATGTGATATCTCACATGACATGTGTACACTAACCATAGGTCCAACGTCACCAGTCTCTCCCTTTTCTCCACCTGGTCCTGGTAATCCCTGCAATTCATGAACATGTGTGGTCATTATATGGTAATAAGACAACCAAATGTACATTTGCCAGTGACTGCATTATCGCATCATACAAAGAAACTGTATCAATGTGTTTTGTAGCACAAACCTATTCAATGTAATATTTTTGATTCATCAGGATGCAATTGCTAACATTTTAAAGGATGGCTACTGCATTTTACAAATAATTTACCTGTTTATTAACATGCATTGTTTGTCTATTATATCTTTTTCTCAACCAATCTTGTTAGTGCATTAAAAACAATAATATGTTATAAAATATGTTCTAAATTAAAAATAAATATATCAGGGGATCTTTCAAAAAGCCCATGCATGCGGTGCTTTCTGTCTAGAAAGTGTGTATATGCTAGAGAAGGTCCCTCTCTGCTAGCACAGTCCGTTGGATGAAACTGGCTTTCTCAGGTATATGAGGGAAGGAGCTGTGTGTTGAGACTACATAGGCAATTATTTGCCGCCCTTTGTTTAAAGATGCAATATTTTAATATACTGTATATCAGTCAGTTGTGAAGATCTGTCTTGACGCCTGTAAATAAATGTGGTTTACAGCATTTAGTTCATTTTGAGGTCTAACATATACATATACTGTATACATACATATCCATATACATATACACAATACTGTATACACTGAAGCAGAATCAGTATTACTAAAGTGATCTGACAATAAGAACAAGAGAAAACATAGCAAAAGAGTGATTTGTTCTTCTGTATCTTCTTATACATATCTTATCATATTCTTATTTTGTATAAGTGCTATTAGGTCCTGAAACATATTTGCAGTAGAGTCCTATCATATCTGAACTAATGCATATATACACAGGGAACCCTTCTTATCTCACCTGCAGCCCGATAGGTCCAGGAGATCCTGGGAATCCACGAGTACCTTCATCTCCTTTTGCTCCAAATATTCCCTGCTGCCCACGTGGACCAGGCTCTCCATCAGCACCCTATTAAAAGAAAAGTATTTTTAGTACATTTTCTATAATGTACTAATTCCCAAGTTTCCTTAAAAAGTAATTTTTTAATTTTTTATGTAAATTCCTAAAATTATCAAATAAATTTTAAATAGATTTTAAAATGAATCCACGTTTCAATGTTAGAGAATGGGAAAGTTGATGTATTAGCTACCATGTTCAAACAAGGCAAATCCTCTCCAACATTCTGTTCTATCAATAACTGAGGCAAAGTTGAAGTTGTGACTCTATACTGCATATTCTATAATTTTGGAACAGCTGAAGCTAGCTCTTGCTTGGTTATTGAGCTCACAGTATAAATGCTCTTTGAATGCTATGGAATACATTTCAAAATATAGAAAAGATGTTCCTTGATGTTCCATTAGATGCGGAATCTAATGTCTAGAAAGAAGGTCACAGATGGGGTCATCTACTGTATATTTAGGGAAGAAATAAGATCACAGCTCTGGACATAGAGCTTGTGGAAGGAAAAGTCAGAACATCAAGCCAAGGCAAGGAAGGACCTTACAACCAATCATGTGCGTATAATCTAACTCAGTAAAGCCCAAATGAAGGCTCTAACTAAGCAAAATGGCAGATATGGATCAAATATTTTCTTATTTTCCCCATCAATATTAGAAATATATTGTATGGCTCCCTGGGGTAGCTAAAGTTCTCATCTGACCCAAAATCATATATGTATTGTACCATGATAGGAAGAATAAATATCAACTTTTGTTTACAAAGGGTTCACAGAAACAGCTACACTAGGCATGAGATCACACCTATGAAGGTCTGTCCACTGGAGGTGGAATCCACTAGAAGTCACCAGAGGTCCATCAGGGCCCAAACCATACGCATACTATAGTTTTGTGCCCCATAAAGTCCTGGTATGAGTTTTAACACTTTGAGAAACCCTAAAAATAAATTGTGAAACCCTTTTTGTTCTGAAAGAGCACATTGAAGATCATCTAAACCTTAAGTGAAGGAAAAAAGTTGTAGGCAGAAATATTTATCTTTTAATGAAAAGGAAAGCCAAAGCTAGTAACATTATATTTTTAGGAGGAAAAAGGTGAGGTGAAAAAATACAGGTAAAAATCGTCCTTCTTCAAGGGGAAGTAAAGAAGTCATAGCTCAGTTATTCTCATGTCTAGGGGTAGGGGTTCATTGATCACGACGTTCCTATTTGTCTGTCCAATCTGGTACCCTTTGAATGCATTCAGTGCATTTAGAGTTTCAGACAATAGGTGCCTTTAACCATAATTCTTGCTTTGCACTGATAAACATTAGTTCATTGTTCATTGTGATTGTATAGCCGTCAGTCAGTAACTTTGAACTGGTGCACACAAATTCAGAAAATGTACAGATTACTTAAATAAATACATGTAAAGGGCCTAATCATACTCACCGGAGTACCTGGCTGTCCCACAGGGCCATTAGGACCAGGTGGACCCGGAGGACCCTGTGTAAAAAGCAGAAATCTTCATTGAATTGACATATTGAAAAATACATTTCACAAAAGCAAAACAGAGAAGCTGGCATTATCATATGTATTCCGCATACTCTATCATTACTATATTATTAATAAAACTTTCAGAGGCCCCCATTTGGGACTTCAATACACCTGTATTTTACCCATAATAACCTATTTCAAAATATATATTTATTTATTACTGGTATTTAGATTGCGCCGACAATTTATGCAGCACTTTACATCAGTCAGTCCCTGACCCTGAGGAGCTTACAATCTAAGGTCCCTATCTAACATGCATACATACAAGGGCCGATTTAGATAGGAGCTAACTAACCTACCAGCATGTCTTTGTCCTGGTGGCCATTGTCACTGGGACAGTGATGGTAAACCCAAAATGTTACTCTTGCCACCAAAACAGGAGGTGATGCGAAATCTTCTAATGGTGGCACCTAGTTCCAATGAGAACTGTCCAAGGGGATTTCCCCTTAGTTTGGAAAGATTTCTTCTCACTTCCTATTGTGTTTCCAGGATGACAGGAAGTGAAGTATAGGGATTTTAGCCCTACCCTGCTCCCTACCCTTATAAAAAATTATACAATCATAAATCAAAGCTGTGACTCTATGGCTAGCCACAACCAGAATAGGCCTCATGGAGTAAAACAGACATTGTTACATTTTCTCCAAGATTAAGTGAATGTGGCACATCTGATTTGACAACTTCCTTCCCTTTTCCCCACAGAAAAGGTAACAATCTGCAACCACTTACACAAAGAATGTTTGAAGGGTTCCAGGGCTCAGAATGTTTTTTTATTCCTACATGTTAATCCTACAATATCCAATCCCTGTTTGAACACAGCAAGCTATGAATGACTTGAAAAGATGGTACTGGACTTAGATGTCCTAACACTCAAGGTGGAGCAAGTCAATGTGTGCATGCTCCACTGCATATTAAGGTATATCGCTATAACTTTATATAAATAGCACAAAGACTTTGAAAAAAATGCAAAACCTAATTACATTGGTATTTTATATCCGTTTGAAGGAATCAACTGCAGTCCACAGTTGACTTACTAGGAGGCTGGTGTTAGGAGAAGAGAAATGAAAGAGAAAATTTAGAAGAAGGAGTTAAAAGGAAGAAAAGGGCAGACCGTAGATAAAAGGCAGTGAGTGGGGGTCAGAACTGGTAGTTTAGCATGTCCTGCTTCCTAATTTGATAGCCGGTAAGACTGATTATTCCTAAGGTGGGGGGTCCACGTGCTGGTGTAGACATTAGAAGATCACTATTCCAAGTTTTACAAAATGTATCACTCTTCCTCTAAGGGAGGAAGTTAAATCTTGTGTGGCATTATACAGTATCTTTGAAAACCAATGGTTTATGGAGGGAGAGATGGATTATTTCCATAAGCCTGGGATGCAGTCCCTAGCCATGTATTAAAAAAAAAGAATGGTTTGACATGAGTTGATTCCATAAGTCTGGGTACAGGCAGTGACCATGTATGGAGGGAAGGATGGAGGGGTTGTCTCCCTATGGCTTGGAAGCAGAAGCTGATCATTAACGGAAGGATGGATTAATTCTATGTATAGTTACTATGTATGGAGGACGGGTTGGTTTCATAAGGTTGAGATACAGGCTCTGACCATGTATGAAAGAAAGAATAGGTTGTCTCCATTAGGCCATTATGCTGGCCCTTGTCATATATGAATGGAGAGAGACATTGGGTGTTTCCATTAGGCTTGAATACAGGCCCTGTTCATGAATGAACAAGGGGGTGGGTGGGTGGGTTGTTTGCATTGTTGTTATCCTGTACCTGGGATGTAGGCTTTGGCCTTGTATGGATGGAGAGATGGGATGTTTCCATGAGGCTGGGAAGTAAGCCCTAGCCACGTATGGAAGAAGGAATGGGTTGTCTCTGTATGGACAGAGGGATGGATGGGTTGTGTCTATAAGCCTGGGATGTAGAACCTGTTTATTTATGAATGAAGGGATGAGTTGTTTCCATAAGGCTAGTATGTAGGTTGTTTAAGTTGTTTTTTAAGGCTGGGATGCAGGCTCTGGACATGTATGGAGGGAAACGGATTGTTTCAGTAGGACCAGGATGCAGGTCCTGGCCAAGTATGGAGGGTAGAATAGGTTATCTCTGTAAGGTTGGTATTCAGGCTCTGGCTACATACTGAAGGTAAACTATCAGAAATCGTTTAGTAACTTTTATGGACAAGTGCAACTTCTTTCATTTCATAGAGGGCTAGATTTTTACTGACAGAGGTTTTACAAATGTTTTCCATTCTGTCCAAACAGCTGTTTAAAAAGTTTTGTCTAGGTTAAAGAATGATACATTCAGACACATATTTACTTACTGATTTCATTAATGCAAGGAAGATACATGGAATTTATTAAGTGGTCATTTAAGACACACTTTTTAAAGTATTCATCTGAACAGAATATCGACCAAGAAACAACCTGTTTCAAAGCTTTATGACTCCTTAATGCTGTATAGATTGATGAAATAGTTATGTAGGTATTGTAAGCTACATATGTTATAGACCAGCCATGGGGAACCTATGGCACACATGCCACAGTGGGCACGCAGAGGCCCTTCTGGTGCCACGCGATCCTAGGCAGGGGTGTCACCTGACGCCTGAGACATGCAGTTCCGGGCGCCAGGCAGGTAATTTTTTTTTCTACACCTAGCCCTGCTACAGGGCTAGCAGGGCTAGGTGTAGAAAAAAAATTACCTGCCTGGCGCCCGGAACTGCATGTCTCAGGCGTCAGGTGACACCCCTGCCTAGGATCGCGTGGCACCAGAAGGGCCTCTGCGTGCCCACTGTGGCATGTGTGCCATAGGTTCCCCATGGCTGGTCTATAATATATGTAGCTTACAATACCTACATAACTATTTCATCAATCTATACAGCATTAAGGAGTCATAAAGCTTTGAAACAGGTTGTTTCTTGGTCCATGTTCTGTTCAGATGAATACTTTAAAAAGTGTGTCTTAAATGACCACTTAATAAATTCCATGTATCTTCCTTGCATTAATGAAATCAGTAAGTAAATATGTGTCTGAATGTATCATTCTTTAACCTAGACAAAACTTGTCCAGCGGGGAAGCTGGCACTCGTTTAGTACAAGTGATCCAGAATCCCGGACTTCGTGAGAATTCTGGATCGCGCATCCAGTAATTTTACTGTTCTGTGGTCGGCTGAATGTGCAAGCGCAGAAGAGGAGTCAAGAAATATTACAGGTTATTTGCCTGTAATGCGCATGTGTGGGTCCAGAAATTTTAGAGCGCATGTCTGGTCAATCTTGATGATGATGCATTTCAGAGCAGCTTTTGTAATCTTTCAGCACAGAGGCTCCTGGCACTGGACATAAGCGAATAAAATGCATTCAGCGCTTACTTTAGGATTTGGGTTGGTGTTAAGCATGATGGGTGGGTTTACTGTCAAGAGTAGTGGTGAGCTCGGGCGTGTTCGCAGCTCCATGTGCCGAGCCCGCCAGGAAGCTGACAGCACGCAGCGCCAATCACAGGCACTGAGACACGTTCCCGGTCCGCAGCTGCAGAGATCAGGAAATGTCTCAGTATCTGTGATTGGCACTGCGCGCTGTCAGCTTCCTGGCGGGCTCGGCACGTGGAGATGCAAACACGCCCGCGCTCATCACTAATCACGAGGAGAGGGGTTAGATTAGGTTAGGGGTTCAGGTTGGGAAGGGTTAAATGTTGCAGAGGTGCATGCTGGGGAAGGATATAAATATGCCTCTTGGGCAGGAGGGCAGGAGATCTGTGCCTGCTGCCGGGGATGAGGCCTAATGGTGGAAGAGGGGCCAGGGTCTGTGGGCTAGAGAAGGTTTGTGCCACAGTGCCTGAGCATCTTGGGATTGAAGAGTCCTGCTGAAGAGTGTCCTGGAAAGGTGGGCACAGACTGTTGCCAGTGGACATTGCAGGGGGTGTTCTGTCTACTTGCACCAGAAGGAAGTGTGCTTTAAGAAGCTGCTCTAGTGTCTGAAGAGTACAGAGTGCCATTTTCAGCTTAAATGCTCTCCTTCTGTATTGACTGTGAATAAAGGCCTGCAGTCTTCATTTTGGGCATGTTCAGGTATCCCGTGACCCAACCCTTCCCTCCCTGAGTTTATCATGTTTAGTAAACTGTTAAACTTCCTCATGTGACTGACGCCCAATTTGTTCCACCCCACAAAGAGTCAAGGATTCTGCCCTGAGGTTTGAGATGCTAGCCCACCAGGCTGTCTGGTAGTCCTGTCCTGCCAGGGGGGAGGGAGGGGGTGCTACACCATAAATATATAAATCTCTATAATAGTCACTTTAAAGCAGCTAACTCACTTAAGTATCATTATTCTGTAGCCGTAAAACAAATGATCATATACTATATGTGAACCAGAAGCACTTTTAACATTTAGAATTCATAGTTAATAAAAAAGCACAAATACTCACATGCTCTCCCTTGTTACCCTTGCCACCTTTTGGGCCATGCTCTCCAACTTCACCCTGGAAAAACACAAAGTTTGACACTATATGTATAATACAGAATTACTATATTTATATGATAGCATGGTGAACAGACACAGATACTATACAACTAATGTTTGAGCTGGCATACTGTCCGCTCAAAAAAGTGAGCCATAAGAATAATTATTATCTTCTTACTTAGACAAAGTCAACAACTCTTTATGTTGACTTGTTGTTGCTCATCATACATATTTTTTTTTTTTAAAGCTTTCAAGGTCAGGTGTTACTAAATAATGATTTGAGACTGTCCTAATTTCTTAGGCTAGGTACACAAGGAAAAACAAAACTGTGTATGTTAGTAAAGTGTTGTTAATGGTTGTACTGAGTGCCCCAACCTGGCCTGAGGGTCTTTTTAAAGGCTTGTGCCAAAGAATGGGTCAATTTAGTCAAAGGTTACATATCTTATTGTCAGGATTTTGGGGAATGAAATTGTGAAATTGATCAGGGGATGCTATACAAATTCTAATACATATGAAGAGGTGAAACCACTTATAAGTCCCCAGATTAAAAAAAAGTACAACCAATAATTGAAGAAACATCTATTCTGTGAACAATGGATCCACCCAAAAAGTGTTACTTGTCCAAATGGGGCATGTTGTTATTTTGATTAAATACAGAATACTTTGACATGAACTGTACCTTGTCACCGTCTTCTCCAGAGATACCAGGAGGTCCAGCTGGTCCAGGAAGACCCACGGGCCCTTGCAAACCATCTCTACCTGCGGGGCCAATTGGTCCTTTCTCTCCCTGGAAAACCAAATAAATATTGTTGAATACAAGGTATGTAGTGCCATGTCTAAAATCAATGCAGGAATGTGTGTGATCAGGGGTTCCAACAGTCAACACAAACAGTCGAAAAATCCATTGCATTTTCATTGGTACAATAACAAAGTGTGTACTTACAGATTACCTGCACTGGGCCAATTAACCTAGAGAGTGACAGTTATTCAACTCTAGGGTGTACCAACGCAGCGTGAGAAGAGTCAAGGGAGGCAGCAGAATTCGGGCTCGACAGCTGCCTTGGAGGGCAGAAAGTATAAATCTGGGCAATGCCACCGTGTAGTATGGCAACTTTGGCACCCAGGACTCTCAGCCAAAGGGGCTGAGAGGGTCCAGAATGTAAACACTGTTTTAAGGAAGAGCCTGGCTTTTCAGGTCCTTCCAGGTTTTTCTAAATGTAGCTGGGATCTGGAGATCTCTTAGAGCTCTGGGTGGGAGATCTCCAGTCCTAGGGCCAGGTGCTGCCAATGACCAGTGTGGCTGGATCAGGTGGCTGAGAACAGCCTTATTAGGAGTCTGGACCAGAGTTCAGAGAAGAGTGTTGGAGTTGTGTGTGCAGGCGGCACAGGTGTGTGTTGGACGCACGAGGAACAGCCGGGGGAGGCTGGGAGAGGTCAGGAAGGTCGGTGACCCAAGGGATCTATTGGACGCACTACTGAGAGAGCAGTGTGAGTGCCCATGAGCTGGGAGAGGTCGGGAAGGTCGGTGATCCTAGGACCTGTTGAACACACTGCTGGGAGAGCAGTGTGAGTATCACAGAAGTGTGCTTGGAGCTGAAGAAAGCTACTGAGCCATATAAAGGACTGTCTATGTTGCTGCTGCAAGCTATTTTGTGTTTGCCCTTTAATAAACTGCATTTTACTTGACTTACCTGGACTACAGTGGAGTGTCCTTGTTACAATATATACTGTATTTTGGGGGCACCCCCTCTGAAAAGTCGGGCACTCGGTCATGGACGTAGAGCCCAACAGTTGCACGAGAGAGGAGGGGACCCAGCGGCATAGCTTATCCTGCCGGGTGAACGTCCCGTCCTCTTTCTGCCAGTGTCCATCATCAAGATGGCTGCCGGCAGGTACCACCTAAATGGCCTCGCATGCGCGTGATGTTATCGGACGCAAGCGTGATGACGTCGCGCACATGCACGATGATGTCATGGCGGGGTGACACCCGGCCTCGACACCCAGCCTCGGGACACACCTGCTTGGGGGTTCACTGCAGCACATGTGTGCACAGAAATTTAGAAGCTCACTGGATTTCTGGACGAACATCAGGTTCTTTTCTTTACTTGCAGATACAAAACATGGGTAAATGTGCATGTATTAAAAACATTTAGTGAATGTTTTTTATTTTATTTTATCATAACATATGTTTTCAGTTAACTTGGTCAAAACCTGAAAGAAGGAACCTATACCATGTGCTGGCGTGGTTTTTGAGTTCTGACCGTCCCCCCACCTTCAAGTGCCAACTTGGAATGTAAGCAGCAGTTGGCTCTTGGATAGTGGCAGATACAACCAATTAATGGATAACATTTAGGAGGTATTTAGGGTCCTAAGCACTCCGTGTAATGCTGAGCAGGCATCTGTGAGTATAAAATAAATGCTCTCTGATAAATTGAAGGTCCCAGATATCTGGAACTTATGAGAGAGTTGACACCAATGTTTTATTAGCAGTAACATAGAGGAGAGCATGTGACAGGATGACAATGCAAGATCACAACCAGAAGATAGTTGTCACCCCATAACAGGAAATGCCTGAAGTACCTTCATAGCAGATTGCCTGCAATGGGCCGGTACATCTAGAGATGAACTGCTACCAGAACAGGATAGAGTTTACCCCACTCTTCTATGGGTCAGATCAAGGTCTACCAATGCAGAGTAGGGGATTCTGTCTCTGTTAGTCTCTCCACCCCTAGTAATGGCGGGGTCAGGGAAGGAAGCAAAATTTAGCCCACACAACTGGTCTAGAGGGGCAGAAAGTATACACTTGGTTGTCACCTCATGACAGGAAGCACCTGAACAAGAACCTTCAAAGTTGGATCACCAAGTATTTTTGGTGTATGTTTTACAAGAGATTGAAAGCAACTTTTGAAATGTACATGTTAAGTTTTATATGATAATCCAATGATGGTGTTTAGATCTACTATAAGATCTGACCAAATTCCTGATCCTACATTAACTTTGCAACAGCCAATAGCAAACTAGCTATTGCACCTGCCCACTGCTGCTGCCAATCAGTAGAGGGGGACATGAAGGTCCCCTTCTAGTGATTGACAGCAGCAGAGGGCGGGTTCAATAGCTAGCTTGATATTGGATATTGCAAATTGAAATAGCCAATAGGAATCTAGCTATGCATTCCTATGCTGTTTTTTTTTTTTTATTATTCTGACGGTAGCAACTGACAGAATGTAAAAAAAAAACCTGCAGATAGCAAAGAAGCTATTGCTTCCTGTGCTATCTGCCATCATTTCAAGGGGTGCTCTAACCCCCCTGAAATGATGGCAGAGGGCACCTCCCTGAAATGAGAAGGGCACCTCCCTGAAATGAGAAGGGCACCACCCTGAAATGAGAAGGGCACCTCCCTGAAATTGCTTTCTTTTTTAAATTGCTGAAATTGCACTTATTCATTATTTCTGGTTCTTTGTGGCTTGCTCTGACACTCTATGGTTGTCCTATGGCTGTCTCTTCACTCTTTTGTCATAATATAGGTTCTGGTAGAACATTTCCTCAATATTTATGAATATCTCTTTCTTCTTTTTCCCTGTTATTGTGATCCTCCTTTATTATATCTCCTTCCTTGTTCTATGAAATCCTATGAAATATTTCTTCTGTATTTCTCAGTTCCCACTAAACATAATTCTATCTTTGCGTAAGAATTCTTGATTGTTCCATGTAATCACCTCTGTTTCTCATGTCCGCCATAGACTAGATGGTGTCAGGAAGTATCTGCATGACCTGACCAAACTTTTGTTTCCACAGTTCAATACTGAGATGTGCACCACAAAAGTACAGTATATATGTTTGTACCCCGATCCCAGAACTACCTCTGGAATTCAACCACTGCACAATCTTTCCAAAATCTGCAGGATTTTGATCTATGAGCATTGTAAAATTGTGTGGTGGGGTTATAGTGCTCAGGATGGTCAGGGTATATTATGGTTCACATCTAGGAATCATTTTTAGACTTTCATTCACACCCAGGTTTATACATACTGGTACACCCTTTTCTCCGGCTGCACCTGCTGGTCCCTGAGGGCCTGGTCGCCCAGGAAGCCCAATTGGTCCACCTTGGCCTGGTCCACCTCTTTCTCCGGGAGATCCCTGCAAGATAAAGTCCAGTCTGCGTTACGTCATTTGTGAAGAACATACACTAAACTATAATTCACAGCATAGCTGATAACAGATCTACTAGTGGACATATTTATTTAAAAAAAATAAAATATTAAAGATGAATACTTACTGCAGGGCCAGGTGGACCTGCTGGACCTTCATTACCCTTTAGACCTGGACCACCCTAAATGCAAAAGAAAGACAACATATAATTTTATGAAGAGCTGGAATATTGAAAACAGCTGGTCAGGGATAAACAGAAGAAATATAGATTAGACCTCTAGAAGTGTCAGTAATATACATAACATGGGCATCTAGTAGACATGTGCAATTCGTTTCGTTACGAATCGAAATTCGTACGAATTTTCCTGAAATTCGTAGATTCGGAAGCATACGAAATCCGAATTGCAGTTTCCAAATTATATCCGAAATACGAAATTCCGTTAACGAATTTCGGATCCGAATTTCTTTGAAACAGGAACTAATATTACCCCTGTAAATGAGGTTGAACAACATGACAAGATTTTTTTTTAAATCCGAAATACGGATCCGCTGCTGCTGAGAGTTGCATTACAATACATACAGGCAGGAAATATGAAATTCCCTTGACGTATTTTCGTACCGTTACGAACATTCGTTATATATTGAAGTTAAAAAGCAAAGTACATTTATATTGCAGTTGATGGTAGTTTTTTTTTAAAGTCCGAAATACGAAATTCGGATACGGATTCTGTTAACGGATACGAATTACGAAATACGAAATAATGTATATTACGAAACGGAACAAATTTTTTGACGGCGCACAAGTCTAGCATCTAGTGCATATAGTCCATATAAGGCTTAAAGTCATAGACAGCTGATAATAGTCTATCTGAGTCTAAAAGTTACAGTGTGGTGTATACTTTTCATACATGCTGCTAGGATTGCACATCCAGATCATATATCCAGATACAATGTCTCCAGGTCATCTAAATAAAGAATTGCCTAAACAGCTAAATATCTTACAGCTGCTCAGGTCATGTATGTGTCATTTGGTAATACAGAAAGTCCCCGTGTCCAATGGTCATACAGGTAATCCATGTGTTTGCTGGTTATCTGGTATAAATGTTAAAATTACAGCTGGATTCCAGAAAAGCAGCTTAATAACCAACTGAAATACATAGTAACTGTCTTACCCGTCAAATGGTTTGTAATTCTGTTCAGTAAGTCTTGTGTTGCAGAATTCTCGGCCAGTCAGCATAGTCTTAGACCTTCACTGCAGTAAGGCAATGCAGCGTTGTCCAAGACTCACCCACAGCCTGCTGACTGGCCAGTGAAAAAGTAAGTGTACATTGATGAGCCATATCTTTTCACTGTGTTTGCTTGTCTTGTCAGCAAATGTCCAGCATTAGACTGAGAGTACCATGCACTAGTCTTCAAGCGCTAACCCTCCCTTCCCCAACCTGAAAACTACTAAGTAGATTTAAAGAAAAATTCAGGCACATGCTCTATTTGATTTAAAAAAGCATTTAATTATATTAAATTAAATCATAATTGTTTTCATATGTGTTTTATATCAGCCTAAAATTCGGCTATTATACAGGCAATCTATGTGTGTTTGAATCATACATTGGATGATTCATACAAATTTCTGTAAAAAAATCTTACCCCTCTCTTTTTGGTGTTACTTAACCTCTAAATGTCTACTTAATAACAGTGTCCAGCATTCCCTTCGTTCCTTACTGTGTAACTAAAATGATTACATAATGCAGAAATAATAATATTAAGGTCATTCGAGATTTTGTAGTGCTGCATTACTCACTGGTGTACCAGGTAGGCCTCTTTCTCCGGGGAAACCTCTTAAACCAGCAGGTCCATCTTTACCAGGAACACCAAGGGATCCAGGGTCTCCCTGTTTGCAATAAGAGAATATTCAGTAGGTGATTAATAAAGACACAAAAATAAGATTATCAAATGATCCAAACTGGAGATCATAGCAGGAAAAAAAAAGAATGAGCAAGGGTGAAATTATGACAGTGAAAGCCATAAACTATAAGTATACTAACAACAATCCAACAGTTATTTTGCTCCAACTGCGGTGCAAAGCTACAAATAACATCAAAATATCCATCAGCCTGCACACGGACACTTGGCTCATAATTGGAAGAAGACTTTAAAACCTTCACTCTAGTATACCGAAAGTTCTCATCTTTGTGGCCTAGGCTCTTGCAGCTAAACTTTTTCATTGTACATTACTATCAACAAGGCTTAAATACTACAAAAAAAGCATGAAGATCTCAGAGAAGGGGCTCCGGGTCGTGAACTGTACTGTGTCTAAGACTGAAATTCCTGAGGCCTTTAGTAGGTCATATACCATTTTGAGAAAGTCAAAAGCACCATAATATTTCTTACCTTGGTACCTTCTTTTCCAGATGGGCCTGCCAACCCCTGCTCTCCTGGTGGTCCAGGTGGGCCGGGATGTCCTCTCTCTCCCATAGGACCAGATTCTCCTGCATTACCCTAGTTAAGAATAAATGTGTCCTTTATATCAATAAAAATAATTTGGTAACAATCAAAAAACTATTTCGGCAGATCATACAACTAGAGGTGACCATTGTATATGGAGGGCTACTTCTTTACACAATGGTTTCTACATATATCTATTGCACTGAAGTTACATCACCAATAGTAAGTACATATATATTACCATTCACACCATCTCTCTGCTGGTTCTTACCTGTGGTCCCACAACACCTGGAGGTCCGGTGGTTCCCATTTTACCTTGGAAACCCTACAAAATAAAATAAATCATGTGATATTATCCAAGGGGTTACATCAGTGTTACCATTTAATCTAGCAATGCAGAAAACATTTATACTCTGCTCAACCCACCACTTCTCCTCTCTGTCCAGGATGTCCAGGGATTCCATCTTTACCAGGAGGACCCTGCCAAAAAAAATAAACAATTATTGGCAATGTAGCATTTTTTTTCTAGTGAATTGTTCTATTGAAGATACATTGCTTTAAAATGAGAGCTAGAAGCAAATTATAAAATTGCATATGTTATGTAGTCCCCCCCGACATCAGAATGACTCCTGTTTTCCATTTTTAAAAAACCCTGTACTTCTATGTAATGATCCTGCCAGTGGAACCACTGGATTTCCACTTACAGCATTTGGATGACAACACTCAGCCTGTCCTAGCAAATTCACCACTGCATTGTCACCCTTACTGCTGCTTTGCCTGCGCACACAGCAAGGGCAGCGCTACCTGCTGACACTTGGCAAGAGTGCAGCTAGCAGCCATTCCTATCCAAAATGCTAATTTTAATACAAAACCCTGTGTTTGCCCTTGTCTTTGAAAAATGTCTGTATATTTTGACAGAAGAAGGATTGCCATCATCAAACAGATATTGCTGTTCTTCTTCATATATATAATGTTAGGTAAGTGGAGTGTTACAATCACCAGTTACGCTGGTCATAACAACTGGAGGAACGTTGGGCATACAGACATGATTTGACCACCAAAAGCTCTTTTTTTTGACAGGCATGCTTGGATACCTTTGGCATGCATCTTTATGTATCTTGTATCAGCATGGTATGGTCAGGGCCGGATTTCCCACAAGGCCAACCAGGGCCAGGCCTCAGGGCAGTAAGGAGTAGAGGGGCAGCAGGGGTGTAGAATTCCTAACTCCCGATGACCGGGACATGCAGTTCCCGGCGCCGGGTGGGTAGTTGTTTTCTGCTTTGGGCAAGCAGAGCTAAATGTACAGCGGGGAAGCCTGTTTTGTACAAGTGATCTCGGCGATGTCACCGAGATCACTTGTATGCAGCCTGCAGTTCTGCCATTCTCCATGGGGAGGGGGAGTTGGCGGGTAGGGGGGAGCATTCAGGAATCTGGCCTGGCAGCAGAGAGAGTAAATACGGCCCTGGGTATGGTCACTGGTATCTTCTGGGTAAAAGCACTTATCATCCAAAAATATTTAGACAGACCAGTTTTGTGCAATATAGAACGCTAATAAAACTGGTGGCAAAAAACGAATGTGATATAATGGTAACAAACACAAAATCATTACACTAAAGTTAGCCATACATTGGTACTTTGGTTGCTCATCTAGAGGGAATCTGTCAAGTGTGAAAAACAACCAAAACGTCATTGCTGGCTTGTTTTTGAATGTGCAAACGCCAGGATTGCCATCGTCATCCTTGTTATTGTTTTATAACTCAGTCACTAAACTGAAACAAATTAGTTGGAACAAATATACAGGAAGGGAATTTTAGCTTCACTGACAACATAACTGTTCTGGGTAGAAACTCAATAGGAAGTGAAGCAAGGATCAGGGTGAAAGCCCGAAAAATTAATCTTTAAAAAAAGGTCCTCAGTAGCACCTCCTATTCCTTCATCACGACTAATGCATATGAAATGAGCATTTACAGCAGTGAACAAAGCATAATCATCCAGGAATGTTCATCCCAGCAGATGTACTTTTAGTAGATTTTTAGTCTTTAGAAATCATTTTCTGTTCATATTCTATATTCTTGTCCATGAATGCATTAGACAAGTACCACAAGTAGCCACTGTTCTTGTGACAATTAAATCCCATCTCTGTGCAGTAGCCAAAAAATGCCCCACCACTCTCTCTGCTGACGGATCCCCTTTGAGTTCTTTTCTTTTTTTACCTTGTCAAAGCATTGCTTTCTTCCTATTCTTAGCCCCTGTAAGTTCATCCCCGGGGGTACAATGATACTGGATCCAGAAGAATGGGTCCAGAGGCACAGAGGTAGGTGAGGAAATATGCCACAAATAAGCAAAGGGGGCAAGCTTATGTAGAGCGGGGTCCATGGCATGCATAGGTTGTATGCACTACACCAGCTCCCACCCCTGATTTCTGCCTGATGATGTCACTCGCTAGAACTGCATAGGGGTAGTGAGGGAAATGGCTATCCTTCTCACTGTTAGCAGGCAGTGGGGACAGGTTCCTACAACTTGGTATGGTGACATCTTAGTTTAGCAGCATCTATGGATGACATGAAGCATATGCTGCACCAGGTTTGCTGCAATCTTAATAATCACAGCTAATGTTATTGTGCCCGGAGTTCAGCTTTAAAGCAAGAATGATCTTGGTACATAACTATATGACTAAAGTGACAAAACACCAAAGACAATATAGATATACTCACAGGAGGTCCTTTTGGTCCTGGGAACCCATTAGTACCTTGCGGTCCAGGAAGACCCTACCAGGAAGAAAATAAAAGACTTTTAATATCAAAATCCAGAAATGTAGAGATATGATTAAATGTTATGTATATAACAAAGGAGTAATTGTTGACTTAGAAAAAGTGGTAATCTAAAAATTGAAAGACAGTGACAAGTAAGCAATAGATAAACATGGGAGGTAGACGTTAAAAGCTGAAAGCAGAAAAACCTGCGTGTAACTATGTGGAATTTGTTAAAGAATGGACAGGATTAACATACAGTATCTTGTCTGAGGGAACCTTCAAAATGGACTTACTCTCTCTCCCAGTGGCCCTGATGGACCATCACCACCAGATGTACCCTGCAAAAGCAGACAAGATATGATTAAGCATACATTGTGTTCCGGGAAGATGGATTGTTCAGATGCAACGAGATTGAGAAGTAAATTCTAAGGATTTCTCACATTAAACCTTCTTTCATTTACAGACTGCTCATCCTTGAGACACAAAAAAAGACTCTCACTTGTACATCATGCGTACAAACACACAAACCAGGGGCGTAACAATAGCCATAGCAGCCCATGCAGCTGCTATGGGGCCTAAGGGTAGAAAGGGGGCTCCATAAAAGATTGCAGAAGTTACAGTTGACCCTGTACCCCCTAAAATTTAGAATATTGTCTGTTGCAGTGAGCTAAACAGTGCAAGAGATTTGAAAGGCCAAATGAAGCCACCAGAAATGTTGGCTTGTTACAGAATACGTTCTATGGCTGATTGACTTTTCAGCTTGATGAAGCCCACATACGATGCTCTGTCTAGTAGAAGTAAGTCGTGTTCAAGTGGACTCGTTCTGTAATGTTGAACACGTTTTGCTACTGACCTAAGTATTGTGCATTAGAACGTGCTGAACCATGAGCCTTCTCCTCCGCAAAGTGGGACTATATTGTCCATAGCTTTTCAGGAATTTTAACAGGTATGCAACAAAGGGCTATGGTGGTGTATGAAAAAGAAATACTATATACTGCTATGTAAGTCTGCATATAATATATATGTGCAGAAACACATGATAGCACATCAACCACACAGACACTCAATAAATAGCATTATTAATGTTCCAGCAATGTAAAGGAAGAACAACCTTTGGTCCTGATTTTCCAGTGGCTCCTCTTGGCCCTCTTTGTCCTCTGGGTCCCTGAGAAAAACAACAAAAATAAATATTTGTACAATATAAATACAGGTATGAGAGAGAGAGAGAGAGAGAGAGA